TTTTCATAAGAAGTACAAATGGTATCCTTGCCATTAGTTTTTCTATTAATATTAATTATTCACTGTAGGATAGATTGATTTTTCAAATTTTACTGAATTGCAAATCTACCGGCTATTATATGAAGTTATAACTAATAACGTCAACATCTCTTGCATTCCCGGAAGGTGTTATATGATTATGAAGACAAAATCAATCAAGCTGTCTTTCCTGGTCTTCAAGGTGGTCCGCACAATCACACAATTGCTGGTTTAGCGGTTGCGCTGAAACAGGTTGGCTTGATCATAAACATGTTCCTCTTATGAATTTTACTTGAAAATGTTCGTAGTTTCCTTGTCTTATGCACCTACAGTATTGCAGCACTAGATTGTTGCACCAACTAGACTTATTCATATTTTTCAATTCCTAATGATAATACCAGGGAACTGATGGGAAATTATCCTACATTGAAGTGGGATGGAGAAAGTTATGTGAATGCGATCCCAATTATCTGTGAGGATGGGTTTCAAAGGGCTATATAGTCCAAGCCGATAACACTAACTCTATATGTAGGAAATGTTAACGTGAAAAAATGTATAAGAAAAATTGTAATTCTGAAATCATAATACCAGACAATATGGACTTTCTGAAAATGGACATCATAGAAAATAGTACCTAAAATTTTTACTCTCGTCTCTGCTTATGATTAATTGTAGATGTTTCTCATATAAAATAGTACCTAAAACAATCGCAGGATGGCAGACAATTGACAAAAGTTGTTGCGAAGAATTAGTTACAGTAACGAAATGTTAGTAACCACTCTAATATAATCTTGTATGGATGTAGGCGACAACCCCAGAATACAAAGCGTATCAAGAGCATGTTCTTAGGAATTGCTCAAAATTTGCAGAGGTATCTATATCTATTTCTATGAGATTGTCACCCAAGACATTTTCATACCAGGTACTGAGTTTATTTAACTTGCTGCGATATTTTGGCTGACTATATTCATAAAATAATGCAGTCTCTCGTTGAGAATGGCTATGAACTTGTTTCTGGTGGAACTGAGAATCATTTGGTTCTAGTCAATTTGAAGAATAAGGTAAGAGACACTACTTTCTCTAATCTAGCCACTTGAAGAAACTTTCTTGCTTCGGAGTTCTTGATGAATTGAAATGCTTATAGTTAGCATAGCTCCGTGCTAATAGAGGACTAAAATTAAACTGATAATCTTATGTTTAGTTTTCCCTCAAGAAGATACTCTCAATAGAAAAGTAAACATTAGACTATTATTTAAAATAACTCCGTACAGGGTATTGATGGATCAAGAGTAGAAAAGGTGTTGGAATCAGTTCATATCGCAGCCAACAAAAACACTGTTCCTGGAGACGTCTCAGCTATGGTTCCTGGTGGTATCAGAATGGGTATAATATTCCAAAATTGAGAAACCCTTTTCTGATACGTTTCTATTACTTTAGCTGATATCCATCTATCATTCAGGAACTCCGGCTCTTACTTCCAGAGGATTTGTTGAGGAGGATTTCGCTAAGGTAGCAGAGTTCTTTGATGCTGCAGTGAAGTTAGCTGTAAAGATCAAAGCAGAATCTAAAGGTTCCTAAAGATCTTTTCAATTTAATTTAATTTAATTTTACTGACACTTGGCATTTATTTATTCTAGCCAATTCTGGGGTAACTCTCCTAACATAAGATTTCTAATCTTGTTATACCAGGAACAAAATTGAAGGACTTCTTGACCACTATGCAGTCTACACCTTCCATCCAATCCGAGATTGAAAAGCTACGATATGATGTTGAGGAATATGCAAAGAAATTTCCTACAATTGGTTTCGAAAAGGAAACTATGAAGTACAAGAGCTGAAAAAGATGTCATGTCTGGTATGAGATCATTATAGAAGATAACTGGATAGTTGTTTTCTTTGTTTCAAGAAAGACTTAAAAATTTTGGAAGATTATAAATTCTTATAAAATACCCAAAAACAAAAACTTTATAATTTTTAGTTTTGAAAAGTTAGGCTTAGCTTTTGAAATTTTAAAAGGTTTGATAGCATAACATACAAAGAATAGAATCTGAGTTTGTAAGTTTAATTTTCAAAATTAGAAAATTAAAGACGGCATGGTTATCAAGCTGGGTTTAATTTAATTATCTTTTTAACGAGACAAATATAAAGTGGAATCAATTATAGTTATATATGTTTGCTGAGATCTAAAATGCTGGTGTTCTCTAATATGCATGGAACAGGGATGAAGCAGTCAAGAAATCGAAGCGAAGAAATTCTAGGGCCATATGTCTAAGTGTGTAAGTTCTAATTATTTTGAGTGCTTAAGTTTAGCAGATTTTGATTGGGCCTGAGATGTATATATGCATATTGAAGTTATCAAACAAAATAAACTGGTCGGTACCAGCTACTTTCTTCCTTTCTCAAGAGTTTGTCATCATTCAGAATATGGATATATATATATATATAAAATAAGGAAATGTTTATTTATAGCCTTAACCTTATAAAATAAAAAGTAAAAAATCAAGCGTAAATTATTTTGATTTTAGATTTTTTTAATAAAAATATCCATTGATAATAAATGGGGCTCGGAATCCAGGTTTAAATAAATGGAGAATGAGGAAAAGGGTGTTGTAGAGATTTCTACTCAGATAAATTGGAACAAGGACGAAAAATTATATTTTATTACTTATATATTACAATATCTAAGGTTTTGGCACTCATTAGAATATTTTTTTTAGGTGAAAGATTATATTGTAATATTAAAATTTAATTTTTTTTTTGGTGTGTTACATTAAATTAGATTTTGTTTACATTTTTTTTTAAAAGAACTATGGTGTGAAATGAAAATTATGTTTTAAAAAAGTTTTTATGGAAGAATAATTTTAAAAACTATGGAGAAAAATTTCTTGTGGGAACTTGATCCTTTCGATTGCTCTCATCCTTATAAAACCATATTCATTGTTGAGAAGAATCATTCTGATCTTCACAAAAATAATTGAGAAATATTACAGGGATGAAAAATTAATAAAATAGTAAAAATGGGAATGAAGAATGTTTTTCATCCTTCATTTAAGAAGCTTAAAGTACAAAATAATAATAATAATAATAATAAAATACCCAAATAATATGAGGTTTTATCAAATAGTTTCATTCGATTGTTTTATCTAAATGATATTTTTCTTGTGTTAATTTATTTGTATTTACATAAATATTAATGGTTAGATTTATAGTTACCTTAGACATAGTTCAATATTATACATTCAAGTGAAAGTTTGGTAATGCCCAACGTTTCACCAAATTAAAAGCAAAGTTCTCAAAAAAAAAACGTAAAATCCACTACACGATGGTAGAGCGGCACCGGCCAAAGCAATCACCAATAACAATAAGTTGTTTACAATGCAATTTTCTAAAGATTCATCCACAAAATAAAAATTGAGATAAAATACTTGTCTAAGTACACGTGTCAGTATTTTTTCAATATTTACTCTCTGACTTTTATTTTTAACCTTGTTTTTACTTGCAGAAAAAATAAAAATTAAATACGGTTTTCATGGTAAGGATTAAGTTTTGTTGATGATGGTAAAGCCCGGTCCACTCCTCCAGCACAATCAAGTCGCTTCGGCTGGTGGTGCTGTTGAAACTTGAAGAATCCAAGCGGTTTGCCTCTTGGGATCTGCGCATCTGAGTTCGCGGCATAGATAAAATCTCGGCGGTGGACGAAAAGTACATTGGGCGATGGCTAGAGCTGGAGGAATTACTAACGCCGTAAACGTAGGGATAGCGGTTCAAGCTGATTGGGAGAACCGCGAGTTCATATCCCATATTTCAATTAATATTCGTCGTCTCTTTGATTTTCTCGTCCATTTTGGTAATCATCCTCGTTTCTCTCTATGTTTCTTTTGTGTTCTCTTACATCTATCTGTTATTGAGTGTTAGATCTCGTTATTTGATATTTGAACTTGACATTCTTGGAAATTTCCTTATATGAAATATCTGATTTGCTGATGTTGTTCTAATTAGTTTCCTTTTAAAAACGATGCGTTGGTAGTCTGATTCTGGAACTTTTGATTCCTTCATTTTAAGATTGAGAATTGCATCCCATGGTTCTTGATTTTTTCAATGAAGCGACTGTGATTGTTTTATCTTCCGGAAATTGGTTGGCTGAGCACCAACTTGCCCTACGAAGTTTCAACCTCCGGGAATGATATGGAAATTAGAACTCAGTGGTGCTGTATTTTACTTGATGATCGGTTTCTAGGAACAGGAATATCCAGGTTTCTAACTTATTTCCTTGTTCCATCAGAGGCAACAACAAAGAGCAAGTTGGCATCTTTGAACGAGAAGCTCGATACGCTGGAGCGGCGGCTTGAAATGCTTGAAGTCCAAGTCAGTACTGCATCTGCTAATCCATCTCTTTTTACCACTTAAATGTTTACTCCACCTTGTATAAAAAGAGATAGCCCCCTTGTATCTTTTATCTTGTTATCGTTGGTGCAAACAAAATATTAGGATCTTCCGATCTTGTGTAACCCAGTTTATGAGTTCAAATTGATAGTAAAGCCATATCTGTATGGTGCTCGTGCTTTTATGCTGATCTTCTTGAATTCAGATATATGTTGTGTGCTTAGACTAAGAATATTTACTATTATGATAAGAGGGAAAAGTATATTTGATGTCAATGGAACAAGATGACTGTTCGTTGAGCCTGTTACCATAGCATTGTTGCATTAGAACTTAACATAACTTCTCCAGGATTGACAAGACTTTCATTTTAGTTTCTTTGGCTCAACTTTTTTCATGTTTGTTTCATGGGATGTGATTTCTCAATAGCGATGCATTTCATAAATTCACCCAAAATTAAGTATAGGAATATGCAAGCGACCCAGATCCATTTGAATATGAACCTTCCTAGTATGGATATAGTTTATTATATCTCCTGAATTTGTTTGTCCAAACTCAAGAACTTCATAGCTGTTATTTTAACTTTGGTTTCTCCGAGGAAATAGAGAAGTCATTTCTTTACTGAAGTTTCACTGATGTAAGAACTTGGTTTTCCAATACAAGAAAAACGAGGGCAATTGTAAGAAAATTTCATTCTGAATTGATTCAGCAATATGAAAAAGGAACCAGTTCGTTACCACATCCTTGATTCTTCACGTCCTCTGGTTTTTGGATGCAAAACGAAGTATTAGGTAGAATAAAATCCTATAAAGCACAGCCCAACCAAGCATCACCAGCACATTTTCCCACTTTTTGGTTGAATCAGTTTTGATATGGAGACTCTCCAATATGTTGATACCAGTAATAACAGTTCCGTTCGATTGATTCCCGAAAATAATGGAAGTCTGATACTCATTCATCAAAAGCCCTTCATATGGATATGTCATCGTGGAAATCTTGTTCATCCACTTCCAGTAAGGAGGAAGGTCGTGGCTGTTTAAGAAGTACCCGCAAAACAAGAAAAAGAGGGCAGTGAAAGCAATCACAGCTGCATATCCCAGGATATAGTTCGGTACTACTGAGCTAATGAATACAACGAATGAATTTGTTGAAAGAAGGGACATGTAGAGGACTATCAGGAAATATATGAAAGATCCTCGAAGTTTCAAAGCAAACCAAACTATCCCAGCATAGACCAGAGCTTGCAGGGCAAGAAAAGGCAGGTGAGTAAGCAGCCCAGCTATGGTGTACGATGATGCTCTGTAAGCATTGTGGGAAGTTTCGCGGATGAAAATGAATCGTTCTTGTATGAATGCTGGGACAGCATCATTGGAAGAGAAAAAGAAGAGACAGACGGTAAAGATGAAGAAGCTGAGACGGTCTGTAATTCCTTGGGTATTCTCTTTTGGATTCATAAACATTGTAGCCATCGTAAACCCCATAACTGTGAGGACCATCATCCTTGAGAGGAACAGCTCGGGGGTTCTTGAGATGATATTGAAATTTCTACGCATAAGAATCCAGGTCTCAGAGAAGAATGAGTTTGAAATCTTTTTGCCAAGGTTATTGTGAAGAGTTGGAGCAGATTTTGAACCGATATTTGAAGTCAGGTAGTCATTTTCATTCACTGTGTAATCACTGCTATGAGGTGTTGGTGTGCCATGCAGGACATCAGATGAATATGCATAAGAAGCAGACGAACTGCAAATCAAGAAAAACTAGAGATTATAGTTCTGAGTAGTAGGCTTTGATGCTGTTTTGAATGGATTTTAACAGTAATGTTAATGAAATGCAACTTTTAAGCAATTGAATTGCCGTTGATTGATTTGATGTACCTCATTTGATTATGCAGCTTTGCTCCTTGTTGTCTTTGTGGCAGCCTCAATGCCTGCATAACCACACTATTGTTCGCACTCCATGATCTTGATGTATTATAAGGGCTTCTCAAACTATGACCGTAATCATTCAACGCACGGGAATTAGTTTGCAAGTGGAGCCGTTTTCCAGTTATAATGTTGCTTGTTTTATCTACACCAGACTGAAAAGATGAAGTCGGCGAGGCTTGTATGGTAGAAAGTGAAATCTCTTCATCAGTCAAGTGGGGTGGTTTAGTTCCTGTTCTAGCGAACTCAGCGAGTGCCTCCACTCCAAATTCAGATTGATCATATGCTCGAATAACATCCATAAGATATTCAATTGGGCTTTCTCCTTGAGGTACTTTTCTCTTCATTTGACTGAGATGGTGATTAACATCCTTTGGTGGCCCTTGAAACATAAGCTGCCCTCGAGCAAGGACGATAAGATGGTCAAAGAATGATAGGATTCGAGACGATGGCTGGTGGATTGTAAGGATCACAGTGCTGCCAGTGCGAGCTATGTTATGAACCTTTTCAATGACACTATAAGCACTGGTGGAGTCTAGTCCTGAAGTTGGCTCATCAAGGAAGAGCAGTGATGGCCCATGGATGATGTCCACCCCAATTGATACTCTTCTTCGTTCGCCACCAGACACCCCTCTTGTTCCTTCATCTCCAATATACGTGTTTCTAGCCGACTACAACCAGCAACCAGTAAATTCTTTGGTTAGATATTGAAATATTGCAATAACAGAAAAAGGAAAAAGCCAACGATCTGCTTACAGATAACCCAAGCTGCTCAATCAAGTTCTCCACCCGATGTATTTTTTCATTCGATGGAATTGAACCTAGCCGGAAGTCTGCCGCAAACATCAGAGTCTCATAAACAGTGAGCTTGGGGAAGAGCCTGTCATCTTGCATGATATATGCAGAAGTTCTTTTAATCAAACCTGGGCTCATTTCCATGCCATCCAAAGAAACTCTACCCTTCAGGCTTCCACTTGCAATTCTTCCCGCGAGACCATCCAAAAAGGTAGATTTTCCAGCCCCACTGGGACCTAGTACTGCGGTGACACTTCCTTTTGGTGAATACCCCGAAATTCTGTGCAACAAGTCTACTTCTTGCTTCACAAGTTTCCCTTCGTGTTCCTTGTCTTTTATCACAGTATAAGTAAGGTCGTAAAACTCAAGCCCACCATTAAACTTTGCAGTTCTTCCAATGTCAATCGTTGTATCACGACGTTGACCACCACCACCATGTGCCATGTTTCCTGTTTAGTGTAGCGAGCTTTGTAAGAATGAAAACTAAAACAGCATTGAAAAAGGGAGATGAAGGATTTCAGGTACGTTTTATTTTCCTTCTTTGGGCGTTTCCCAATTTTTTGGCTTTAGGAGGCCGAAGGGGAGTTAAATGGAAGCTAAGGCTAGGTGGGGTCAGCGTAGAAGAGGAGCAAAATCCAAAATGGAAATCAAATTCCATTCTTTGAAGAATCCGTAGGGGATCGTATTGGTTCTCAAAGAACAAGAAACTTTCTAGTTTTCTTCATCGCCTGGTTTTTGGCTTGTGCCTAGCGTCTGTGTTTTTCATTGGAATTCCTGTTGGGATTAACATCCCGACGACAGGTGGGATTTGGAGTTTGTCATTTGTGACCACGACAGCATTGCAACAACGTTTTGTTCTCTGTCATCAGTGTAGGAAAAATCGGTCTACTTGGCAGTAAACAAAAGGAAAATACAGTTTACAATCTTGAAGCAATGAGGTCGTTATTATTTTATCTATTTGATTGTGAAATATTTGTTGCAGTTTAAGTTCTACGGTTAAATCTGTCAGTTTTTGGTAATGTCGAACGTCTGTGAGTTCGTCGTGATTTCACCTAGTTCTTACAGGATTGGACTGCACTTTATTGACTGCTCTACCTAGAGAGGCTTGACTCAGGTAAATATTGAGTTCTTACCTGAACTGAGGATCTAGTATTAAATTTGCTGTAAATGTTGATTTGTATTGTACCTAAATTACATAATGTAGATTACAAATATTATCATATTTACTTGATGTGACAAAAACAATATTTAAGAAATAAATTAAGATGAAGAAGATAAGCTTGATGAACTTTTATATGAATGTTCGGAACCCTAACTTTATTATATAACATCTTTTCCTCATAGATACCTCTAGTTTATGTCTTACATAATGATGAAGTTTAAACAGAGAAAGGTTATCTAGAAGGCGAACAGCCAGAAGGGGTCACAGCACCAGCAGCACTGGTCAACGAGACAGCAGCAGCATAGCGCAGCAAGACTGCAAACCATGAATAACTCCCCAACAAGAGAAAGGAAACGTTAAGTTGGTTAAACAGAGGAAAACGAGTAATATTTTATTTAAGTGGGGTTGGTTGGATTATTGAAATTACCAAGCCTCCAGGCATCCCGGTCCCTGCGGAGGAGCGGCTGCATATTGTGGCGGCGCCACCACCGGAGGCGGTGGCCCCTGGTAGTAACCTCCACTGTAGTAGGGATAAGCGTACTTGCTATGGCTCTGGCTCTGGCTCTGGCTCATCTTAGCAAAGCTTGTTTGGTCTTTTGTTGATCGATCAGTTGATATCAGCATTTGGCTTTATGTTGGTTTCCATCAGAAAGTCGCCCAACGTGGCTATAGTCTATTGAAATGTTGGTGACAGGTACCCATTCTTGCCGCCTCCAGAATAAACGTGTGACATATTTAAAATTAAAAAAAAAAAAAACTATTAGATATAAAATTAAATTACACGGTAAGATTCCATGTCGGTTGGAAAGGAGAACAAAACATTTCTTGTGAGGGTGTAGAAACTTCTCTCAAGCAGACAGATTTTAAAATCGTGAGACTACGATACGTAACAAGTCAAAACACACACAATCGGCTAACGGAGACTTGAGCTATTACAATAATATTGTCACAATTGAGGTAAATTTAGTAGGACCATTACAAGCAACAAATGAACTTACAAGACCTGAATTGACAGAACATGCTCTAAATCTCCCAAGCTTATTATATGATCACCAAGAGGTATCACTCTTGTTCCAGATTCATCAGCCATACTAACATGGTTACAAGGATCCACCAATATGCTGCTTTCAGCTGCTTGCTGTCTCTTTACATGCAAGCGCTCAAAGCCAATCAGCTGCCGTTGAGGAGTGCCTCTCAAGACCTTTGGAAACTCAGAGAACAGCATCACCACATGGCTTCCATCAAACTCACCAATGTTGGCCACTAATAACTTGACGTAGAATTTCAGCAGATCACAGGATTCTACATCCTCAACTTCCATATAACTCACATTCGCTCCATCTCCTACATGAGGAACTCTTTTTCTGCTAGACTTTGCCTTAAAATTCCCTAAAAGACTCAACTTCTGTGGTGCTGATAGCAACTTATACTTGAAACTTGTATAACTCAAGCCTTGTCCGAATCCATAGACTCTATCTCCTGTGTAGAATCGATATGTTCTACCAGGGTAACCACGAGATGGGTCGGCTCTCATGTGCATATCGTTCATAGGAACATTAGTGAATGACTGTGGATACCATGTTACAGGCAATCGTCCACCTGAGAATTCATCAAGAAGAATATCAAGTGGCTTGTGTGCAAACTATCAGTAGTAATCTTGTGAAGATACAAACCTGGGTTGATGTCTCCAAAGATGACTTCAGCTAGAGCTTTTCCACCGGATTCGCCGGGGTACCCGATCCAAAGAATGCTTGCAACTCCTGAGTCCTTTTTAGCTAAAGATATATCGAGTGGCCCACCACCGGTGAGCACGAGAATGATCGGTTTCTTACTTACCGATGCCAAGGAAGATATGAGGGTCATTTGTTTACCGGGTAGTACAAGACTAACTCGGTCTAGATCTTCGTGTTCTTGAGATAAATCAAGTCCAGCCACTACAATAACAAAATCAGCTCTTTTGGCTATAAGAATTGCTTCATCGAATCCATCATCTGATGCACAAGACACATCGAGGCAACCCGATGCGAAGAATATCGTTTCAACATATTCTTGAAATCCCTCAAGAAGACTCATTGGGCTGCAGGGAACTCCTGATCAACAAAACAAATATTGTGAATGCTTTAGCTCACTAAGATGAGTGATTACAGAAGGAACAAAGCAAGCAAGCATGTAAAGAATAACCTACCTACATAATCTCCAAGCAAATTGCTCACATTGTTAGCCAAAGATCCAATAACAGCTAACGAAGAAATGGCATTCTTATTCAATGGAAGAAATCTATTTTCATTCTTCAAGAGCACAATTCCCTGCCTTGCAGCTTCAAGAGCCAGAGTTTTGTGTTGTTCAGTGCAAACATTTTGTGCTCCCAGCTCCCCAAACTTCCCCTCTCTTGGATCCCCATCAAACAGACCAAGACGGATTCGAACCGAAAACAGATTGAGGAGAGCACGATCTATCTCTTCTTCTTTCACCTTCCTCTGATCGACCGCGGATTTAGTATTCCGAAGCATGAATGTTCCACAGTTAATATCCATTCCTACAGGCAATGATGTTCTTATCATCACTTCAATGGCATAGAGGTATCTAATCCATGGCAGGCATAACAATACCTGCTTTGAGAACATCAGCTATAGCATCCTCACGGTTGGTGGTGTAATTTTGATATTCAAAAACTGTAGCTACTGCATCACAGTCTGAGGTGATGTACCTTTATTTGATTGAAACAAAGGATAAACCCAAAATAGCTTATTAACTCGTTCATATAGAGAAGTGGATAGATATTCAAAGTTTCAAATCCAGGGAAGTGTTTACCCTTTGAAGCCCCAATCAGTTCGAGCTTTCTGAAGAAGTTCGGGCTTCGCACATGCAGGCACCCCATTAACCGCATTGTAAGAACACATCAAACAGCTAGCCTTTCCTTGTTGAACACAGCTTCGGAATGGTGGTTGATATGTATCCACAAGGTCTTGCTCTGTTACCTACTAAAACGAGGACATTCAATTATGTTGTACCAATAGCGGAAGGAAGATCGAATGTACACACATCCACAAACAGAAATTAAATAAAGAGACAAAGATTTAGGTGGGTCGGTGAGAAAAAATTCCCCTACATCTACATGTAGCAACCAATCTTTATAATCAAAGTGTTTACCAGTGACATCTATCCAAACTTACTCTAGCAAAGCTCAAATCAGCTGTGGTTTGTCTTTAACCTCACAATAATAATCAAGATGATTATGTATAAACAGTTGAAATCATAGTGGGTTGTTTCAAATCTTGATCAGGAACCAAATTACACGAATGAACAAAGCTAAAATTGGTTGATGAACTGCGAGAAAGAAAGTAAATCTTACCACAGAATTGAAGGTATACCTAGTGAAATTCTTCCATTTCTCCAAGTCGTAAGCAGTAAGATGCTTGCAGCAAGCGGAGACCATTAAACTTTCCATCCCATCATCTTCCTCCATTGGACCAATTTCACGTTCTCTCCTCCAATTCCCGCTCTGAAGGCCTCTCACGAACTCAATCGAATAAGCCGAGGCGACCATGGGGTCTTCACCGGGAGTCTCCTGGCCTCTTCCCCATCTGGGATCCCTAAAATTGTTGATGTTAGGGGCCCAAATTGTTAACCCACATTGCCCAACATTGAACATTGATCTAGCCTCGACTCCGATCGCCGACCCAATTAAGTACCACAGAGTCCTATTAAATGAAGCGGCAGTGACGAGGACTTGTGGAAAGGTCGTGGCCGAACTTATGGGGCCGACGAAGGACACACCGGGACCGTTGGTGGCTATGCCGTGGAGCCCCTCGGACCACCACTCGTATGAAGGAATGCCGAGCCGAGGAATGGCAGAGGCGTTATTTGAGAGCTGTTGGATCTTTTCTTCGAGAGTAAGCAAGGAGACTATGGACTGAGCTCTGGCTGTGACGGAGAGGGATTTGTTGCAGAAGGGATAAGGACTATTAAGAGACGGATTACATGGAAACTGGAGCTCTGAGGATGATATGGAGTTGATGTTGCAGAACTGGAACAAGATGAAGAAGAAGAAGATCGATTTCCGCAAATTTGACATATCTTAGCATGGGATCTTAAGAATTTTGAGCTCCAAGAGAATGAGACAGCCAGTGGAGCTTAATGAGCAGTCATGGCGGCCATTGATTCATTCAATCGCAAGAACAGCGATTTTCCTTTTTTCTTGAAATGGGTCCATTACAGATGATATGATGACTGATTCCACTGAAATTATCTCATTTGGTATATTCATGAAATGTAGAGATGGACGATTGCGTTGAACCATTTGAACTGCAGCGGGCGATGGAACAATCGACTTCATAATTATATCCTAATATAAAAATTTGATGATCCAGATTTCCCAATACGGTGATTTTGAATCTCAAAAAGGCTTAAAATCTTTGATTTGCATCAAAGTATTGATCAGATCGAAAATAAATAATAAGTAGAAGAAAACATTGGATTAACAATATGATCAAAGCCGGAAAGAGAATCTGATAAGGATATGGGCCAATTATATTGTTACTGAAAATGGGCCAAGATTGTGTGAAAACAGGCCAAGATTGGGCCACAATATATTGTTACTAAAAATGGACCAAAGATTATATTGAAAACGGGCCAATATTGGGCCACAATATATTATTAAGTAAAATGGCCCAAAGATTGTGTTGAAAACGGGCCATGATTGGGCCACAATATATGTTACTGAAAATGGGCCGAAGATTATGTTGAAAACGGGCCAAGATGGGCCACAGTATATTGTTAAATGAAAATGGGCCAAAGATTGTGTTGAAAACGGGCCACGATTGGGCCAGCAGTTAGTAAATCAAATCTAACTCACAGGCCCAAGCAGTACACACTTAAAACCGTGAGGCGTATCGGATATTAAAATGATGTGGATAAATACCCATAAATGAGAAGACTTTATAGTTCATTTTTCTTTCCTTATTTTCATTTGCAGCTGATGGAAGAATTAATTTTAAGATTCAAACAATAAACGTTAATTTTACATTATTCTTTTAATAAAAATATAAAAATTGACAAAAGTGCCCTTTTTCTTCTATTATTGCATCTAAAGCTCGCAGTTATCTTATACGATTGGATATAAATTCAAAATTTACAAGTCCTCACCTTCCGATACAAATTCGACGTGCTTAACTCTTACCTCCTTATAAACCCACGATCATTTCTTTAACTAGCCAATGTGACGCTCCTTCCTAACCATCCTTGTAATAACAAGACATGATTTTGAAATGTCATAAATCCATGTCGCTCTCGAAGGCACAGATGCAGAAGAAAACAGTCAAACAAAATGCCAAGATTGAAATCATAATAAAATACAAAACCAGCTGTAAAATTAAATCATTGAATTTGGTGTTGCTTTGTTCAAACAAGGCATACAACTTGTTTGTATCTCAAACTTCAACTACACAATTATTTAATGCCATCTTTTATTTTATTTTGCTCTGCTCCTTCCTTTTTTGTGATGGCTACCGTTCAAAATATCATAATTTTCAGAGATTTTCAACATTAATCATCTCAAGAACACAAACTTAATGCTGAGATAGAAACCCAAACATGTTCATCTAAATTCAATCACAAAATTGCATGAATTCAAGTTTGTCGATCACAAGACTGCTGAACTGTGGATGAGCCAAACTTATGTCTGATCGAGAACTATCTGACATTTTTGTCTTCAAAACTGTTTGGCAGAG